AAGAGGCTTTCTTATAAGCAAAAAAAAAAAAAAAGACCATTTGTTTTCTTCAAACTTCTCCCCTACTATTTCATGCTTTCCTCCAACTTCTCCCTTCTGAGTCAGATGCTGACCTCTTTAACTGTGACTAACTCTTCAACACAGCCCTCTGCGTAAGGCTTTCCAGCACATGGTGTTCACGTTTAGAAATATCTTATTTTCTTGCCCTGTAAGTTAACAATGACTACCCAAGTCCCCAGAGGCAAAGACATCAAAAGAAAAGCAAAAGTCTGTAATATGTAATACTCACTATGCCATAGGCAGCATTTACCAGTAGGCTGCATAGGTCAGACTCTTGATTCTTCTCCAAGAAGTACCAAGCCTTTAAGCCATGGAAGCCCAAGATACCCTCATAGCTGGTCATGCCAAGCCACAAAGCCCATCTGCTGCCTCCTTCTGCAGCATGCCCTGATGGAAACACGCAGGTGCTGCCAGGGACCAGCAAGGAAGCAAGGACAATGTCTGAAGTGAGCAAATAAGGAAGGGAAGACACGAAGCCTTTCCTTTGCCTGTCCCTAGTGATTTGGGGAACAAAAAAGTAGAGAAAATGTTCTCATTCCATCTTTCAGGGAAGCGTAGCCCCTCACTGGGAGAAGCGCTGAGTGTGAGGCTCCACTAAGGCCTGCAGAAAGAGTGACCTTCATCACGGGCACCACCATCTTTCCTACAAAATTATGTCAGGGAAGAACTTGCCCATTTTAGCTTACTGGTATCCTCAGTTTATGTCTGGCTCCAATAACTGTGCTATGCTGCCACCGGTCACTGCATTTATGTTAAATCTAAGTGGATATAAGCCTTGAAGAACATGAACCTTGCCTGCTTAGCAGACATCAAGCAGCCTGCGGGCAGGATCCATGCAACATGCTTTTCCTGCAGTGCCCAGCCCGGGCAAGAAGGGGTGATGCTCTGTCCCCAGTGAAAGCCAGCAGCGGGTAACAAGGTAAGCTGATGACACTGCTTGCATCGGGGAACTTACGCCAGAAAAGGTCTGGCTTCACACATTGGACACCCATGAAAAGAAACAATTTCATGGGAAGTCATTTGTCATACTAATGGCCTTACTAAATGACACCATTAAAGAACCGTAAGCAAGAGACTGGTAATGAGCAAGTCAATGTTATCATTTGCTCTCATTTTGCAGGCTGGCTCGAGACCAGATTTTCATTTTTTATTGTAAAGGAGAACAGATTACAGAGACATATAAGGAAATCAAAGCAATTAGGCATATCAACAAGCTGGCAGGTAAACAATTGTGATTCAGTGAGGCAACTGTCAACCTCTAAAGGAAGGATGGTACACGTTTGTGTTGTTACTTTCTTTTCGGCCTTATTTATCTCATTTTAGATTGCTCCCAGTGTGATCATTATCATCCCCACAAAGCACGAGATGGAGCTGAGCATGCGTTCAGCTCCTGCACTGCCAGGCTTGATCTACCCCACCCCAAGGACCCCCACTGGAAGAGGCTCCTGGGGACAGCTGAGCACAGCTCCCATCGCAGCACTGAGAATTTGGGCACAGAGAAGGTGGCCAGCCTGCCCCATGGGTAAGAGCAGGAGTTCATCCACTGCAGAAATACAACTAGACAGCAAGTTGAGACTATGGCTTTTCTCCCAGCTTTCCCAAAGTCTGCAACATCAGACTCCTGGGCGGAATCCCTCCCCAGGATGACCTCGACAGGCAAAACAGGTTAAGAGCGCTCATGCGTCAGCAGCTGGCTTTAGGATCTGATTCAGCCCATTTAGACTTAGGCATTGGGTTCAGTTTTCACTCGTGCCCCATGTAATCAGCTCAGAGAGATCAGTGCCTGTGGTGAACGATCTCCGGTCTCACAGTCTCTCTTATGCAGAAGTGTGACAGCACAAGTAATACTCAGCACTAGTTCATAACTGTCTATTAATTTGAAGTGACTCATTTATTTCAAAATCAGCACTGCCTAAAAATCATTTCCAACTCCCCAAAACACAGACTGCTAGCATTTTTTAAGCAAATTCAGCTTAATGCGCCATTCAAAAAACCCACACCATTGCTTTGTGAACCAGACTAGTTATTTTCCGAAATTTTACAGTACCCTGACTCCACGTCTGCTGAAGATATGATGCAGTCTCAGATTTTCTCCCGTAGTCTACCATGATTAATTTTAGTCTACGCAAGTGGGCGGTGGAACGAAGGGAGAAGCAGCCATGGAAGCCAGAATCTGCATCCAACTACGGGAAGATTAGCAGTAGCTAAACACAATAATGTCTCAGCAGGGAATATAGGAAACAAATAGACATCAGAAATAGCACATCCCAACTAGCATACGTAGAATATCCCAACTGCGGAGCTAGCAGACAGAGTATTCTGCACTATGAACATGCCACAGACAACCTCTGTTTAACATTCTGGTTTTGGTTGAGGATTTTAGTAGCCTGTGAGTGCGTACAACTACGGTCCTTAATTTTGCCATCCATCTGCATAAGCACATGAGCAACTTTAATACATGGAAGCATAGATATAATAAATTATTTTCCTAATGATTTTTCCATATGAAAAATCCAACTCTAATGTGGCATGCAGGCAGCAGAATGGATGGAGTATGCAGGCAGCAAGTGTGCCTGGAAAGATATATGGATATGTGTGTTTGTGTGACTTCCTATTTGCATTAATTCATACCTACAAAAGCTTATGCACCATATGAGCCTAGAAGAGCCGATCTGCAAAGCCATTTTATACCTTATATCCATTATGTACTTTTGCTGTCAACCTGCATGCTGAGATCACTGCAGTAACTGGGAAAGTTATGATGATATCAGAGTCCTCAATATAATCTGTTATCAATTGGTATGTCACATAATTTTAAATATACATATACATATAATATATGTTTTAGTTACAACATAAATGTTACTTTTGATAAAAATGAATATTTGGTGAATTTGTTTCACAGAATCAATTTTTTTAAAAAAACACAAATGCTGAAATTCCCTTTAAATGGATTTTCAGTTTTTGACAAGCTCAGCTGTAAAGAATGGGACAACTGGCAGTCTTTGAAGCTTTTAACACTTTACGTATGACAAAAAAGGGGTTGTTGAAGACTGAATGTTTACCAGACCATTTTTTTTTCTAGAAAAGAAAGTAGGAATTTTTTTTCATTCGTGACACAATTCATGTCGTCTGTGTAACAACCACAAACTTTAAATGCAAGCTGTTCAGCATGGGCTGGATCTTATGTCTTTAAAGCATTCAACACACTTTGGTGTGTTAAGTACATAAGTAACAGAATACCAAAAAAAAAAAATTTCCTGTATATTCATAAACTTCTTAGAAATCCAATAGGCTTTTCAAGTACTCAATAATATTTTTTGAACAATGCCTGTTGTTCTCTGCTAGGAGTAGCTAACATAATTAAAGTATCCACTTGAAGATAGCTTCTCTATTGCCTAAGAGCAATGAATTCTCATCTTGAGACTCGTGTTCCAACAAGGCACCTCTCTGGAACAACCTCAAAATCCCGCCAAAAGCCCACTCCCTTTGACAGAAAGAGACACATGGGAAGAAACCACCCAAACTTAAGAGCTTTTGGAAAGGCAGATTCATCATAGACATTAAACCAATCACTACATCAAAACCATAGTCAAAGTATTCAAATTTTGGAGCCTCATCTGGTGGTCTAAAAGGGTTGAGCACATATGAGCACCCGAAGAGCTCTGTACTCCAGACTTGCATCAGTTTAGGACTGGTGAGTGTTGGCCAGATTTCCTCCTGAAAGTCTCCTGCTGTGGCACAACTAGAGCTAAAAATGTTCAAGCTGGAGAAGGCAGCATTCAGTCCTCAGTACTTCTGAATATAGCACAGAATTTGAGAGATTTCTTGATTTTTGAGGAGTTTTGCATTTGTCAGCTTAATAGGATGAATGAAAACAGCAAAATGAAAAGATGAACTCTTATATTACAAATATACCTTTTAGTAAGATATATTTGTGTACCAAATGTTGTCAGGAGACAAGAACAATTAACATTTTAAGGACATTTGTGGGCTTAGAAACTGTACAATGTAGACAGTTATTGCTGTACTTTCTCTAGAGAGATGCTGTCCATCACCAGTGAACACTGTAGTGAAACCGGGACGGCAGCAGGTGATGTAAACCTTGAATCGCTGAGTTTTCAAAAGGAAAACAGGGCTGTGCAGTGTATTTTGCAGGAAAAAAAAACACCACACAGGGACTGCTTTCTGTTCCCAGCCCATGAACGGCAGAGAGGTGAGAGGCATGTAACTGAGGACAGTACGTCATCTAGATACCGCAGACCAAAAAATAGTTTCCATTGAGAAACCAGGATATTATTTTAGGCCTTCGTCAAGCTAGTGCAATGACAGTTTCACAGAACAGTAAACTTCACCACAATCTTCATCGGCAGTCAATATAGCACTTAGGAACAACATCAGTCAACGTCAAGCATAAGCCTTCACATTTTACCCTATCAGGTAACTGAGATACCACACACACCCCTTTTTGAAAGCCAGCCCACAAAAGCCAATGGCTGTGGCTGACACTCCACACACCAGAAATACGTGCTCCGAGTTCTACCTCAGAAGTTCTTAAAAACCGTTGCTAATTTTGCTCGAGCTTCTGTTGATTTAAAGTTATATTCTGCCATCTCACATGTAACACGATGTACACACAGACCCACATAAATCAGTGGGGTGACCTGCCTGCTGAGGCATTCCCAAATAACCACTGATTTTCTATCATGAGTTAAGGAAGGCCCCATGAAAAATGAGAAGGAACGTGAATAAAACCTAAAACCACGTACAATTCATACCACAGCAAACGCTGATCGAAAGGCTGTCTACCAGAGACCAACTTTTTTGATTATAATGTGTTTTATAATGGCATGCTGTCCAATACGACTGCACTAGGTGATTGATAACAAGCACTGTAAAATGTCACAGATTAATAAAGAGCGCCATGGCTGCTCATTTACCTCCGTCTTGTGAGTTCATGATATTCAGAGCAAACAGCATTGCATTGGAGAACGCGGTAGCCTCTTCTTTGCTTGCAAAATTCAAGCCATAGACCTGCCGTGCATCGCGCCATTGATGAAAGGTAGGCGTTGCTTGGTTGTACTTCAGTCCTTTCACAATTGAGTAATTAATCACTACCTGTGATTTGAAAGAGAGGGGTGAAGATTAAAAATACTTCTGTTTTCAGTGGGGAAAAAAACCCCAACCCTTTGGTAAAGGTTAATTAAACTGGGAGAGTCAAATATGGCAGCTCCTAAATGGCTGTACAGTAAGGCAGTGAGTGCTTTGATGACAGAAAACCCACATCGGGGGGTGAGATTTACAACAGTTGGTTTCTGCCTCAGGGACTCCCAAGCTAGTTTTGCAAAATCTATCACCTGCTCGTGTTTCCCACCGCACTTCGGCAGGATACAGCTGAGGAGATACTGCAGGCAGATGTCAGGAGTTGGAGCCAGCAGCTCTTGCCATCTTTTGGGGGATGATTGTGCACCATTGTCAGACAAAGAGCCAGACAGAGCTCTTGGCACCAGCACTGCCCTACAGCAGATAAACGTTGGACTCAGAGCACCGGCTCTGCTCTTCTCCTCCCATGCACCTGATCACCACCAGCTTCTTATGTTGAGAGAGTTTTTCTCCAGAATCAGACAGGCAATGACAAAACCAGACAGCTAAATACTTCCTCTCCCACCTCCTTCCCTGCCGTATGTGCTATAATTTCCAGGTAAAGGGTGACTGCAGCAGAAGGGTGTTTCTGTATGCTTTGATTAAATCTGCTAAACACAATGCCCCGTTTATCCTTGGGCAGGGCACATGGGACACCCAGCTACACCAAAAAGATGTATTTTTAGATATATTCACCTGGCATCCAACCAGAAACCTCCAAGGCAAAAAGCACAAGCTGCATTAGCCCAAGGTGGAGAGGCAGGAGTGTCCCCTGCACCACTAATAAGTCGGAAGGACCCATGGCAGAGACAGCCCCCCAGATACCCACCTGAGGGCTGACAACGGCACTCTGTTGTAATGCAAATTTAAGAAACAAAATGCCAACAGAAATGATCATAATTATTCTGATAAACAAGTACAGTGCAGTTGGAAACAGGAGTGGGAAATGGGGGCTCCCACTTCATCAGCCCAGAGGCTGGGGGTGGAAGGGAATGAGGGACAGAGAAACTGAAAATTACAAGCAGCTGAAGTCTGAAGTTCATTATTCAAATATAGCAAATCTTGTTTTGCATATTCAAGATTGCCCCTAGAAATGGAGTCATTTTGGATGATGTTTTATCAAGAGACCTTGCAATCCCACAATTTCTGGTCCTTGTGGAAAGCCAATCAATGGAAATCCTCCACCAAACTAGTTTGTGTGGCTCATCCATAAGTTAGGTGGGCTGGGCACTGGTATACCAGAGAAGGATGAGGGACCTTGGCGCAGGCTGTCCAGGAGCTCACTCTTAGGGAGAGCACAGCATGCTGGGCTTGGTAAGACAGGAGCAACAACAGAAGACAAGGGAACAGAGAGCCAGTCAGTAACAAATGCTGTACACAGTATTTACTGCTACGGGTGGATCCCCCACACCAGAAAACCCCAATACATCTTTTTTGCAGTCTGATTGAAGAGTGCTTTGGAAAGTTTTCTGTTAGTACTACCACTGCACCTATAAAATTCCAACATATTTAATTAGATTAACAATATTTGTGCTAAATGATTGACAATTCTTCTCCACTATAAAAGACAGAGTTTTAAAACTAATTTCAAAGATGAATGACTCCTAACAGAGTTTTGACTTTTCAGTGGATTGCCAATTTGAACTGGCAGGAAAACATTAGGTGAGCACCTAATACATAAGGAGCGAAATGTTTTTCACACATTCCTGTTTCTGAAGAATAACATTTTCTCATTGATTTAGCTAGTTAACAGATGTCTGATAACTATACTATATTAATATATGAAAAATTTTAGAGACCAGCAAAGAAACCACTACATGAGTGGATAATTACAGACACACTTTATTTCTATAAAGCATATTACTTACCTGAGCCAGCATTAAGCAGTGACGTAGCAAAATAGTCTTTGAATACTTGGACTAGCTTTAGGCATAAATTTTCCTGATGGTTATTGAACATGTTCCAAGTGTTGCTCTCAATCAGTATCATCATTCAGTTTCAAAGGGAAATGCAGTGCAACCTATGGGGTCAGTACAGACGCTCCCTATAGCTGGGCCCCTGAAAACGGGAAGCACACCACCAGCATGCTGTGTGGGAAACCACCCACACCAACCAGAACGAGGTGGAAACCATGTCACTCCAGTCACAGCAAAGCCACAAACTCACTCCTACAGCTGACAGCTTAGATAGCCCTTTCCTCTTAAACAATGGTGACACCACCACCATTAGCAACCTGATCTAGTGGAGGGTGTCCTTGCCCATGGCAGGGGGGTTGGAACTAGATGATCTTTAAGGTCCCTTCCAACCCAAACCATTCTGTGATTCTACCACTGAACACTGGCAGAGCCTGTACCGATACTGCTCACACTCAAGGAGTTTCTGGAGCATCATGTGGACTCATGCCTGGATTACTAATCCAGCAGGTTTAGCATGTACCAATTTTTAAGTTTTTCAATCACTTCTGAATACCTTAACCAAGGGAAGATACAGACAGTATCTTCAAGGAAATGTTTAGAAAGACTGCAGATTCTTCCAGGCTTTGCAAAGTCAGTATTTCTCACCTATTAAAAGTCCAAAGAGCACCACAGGGTGTAACGTGGTCATATAATGTAAGAGATGAATTGTAAAAAACCTATGCCAAGAGCTGTTTCATGTTAAGTTCAAAACCTGCTTTACCAGCACATCAAGTCAAGGAACTCAGAGGATCTGCTTTATTATCAGGGTTTAGCCCCTTCAGTCAAATAAAGACAGAAATTGAATGCTGACCTTCATTAATTATCAGGATGATTAGATGAACAAATATAATGCCTTGTCTTCAAACTCAAAACAGAGAGCTTAAAACTGGCAAATTAAACATAAAATAGCCTGACTTTCGTTTTATCTCCTTTGGCTAATGTTTCTAGACAACAGAAAAAATAAAGGAGGGGTTCTCCTGCTGTTGTTAAGAATGAATGCACAAACGTATCCTGTGCAGGAGGCATTGAGACTCTGCAAGGCACGTGATGACGAAATGCGTGCTTCGGAGCAGTAATTTACATACACAAGGGCACCCTGTTTGGAGCACAGAGGTTTTTACAGGTGTTTCTAAGGGATCTTTACTCTAAAGCTCTGTATGTTGGTAAGAAGGTATCTGCCATGCTGAGCAGACCAACAGTCCATCTCTTCATCTTCAGTTGTGGTCTTTAAGAGGTGAATTGGAGAAACTTACTGGAAATCTTGCAGAAAGAAGTAATGGATTGGTCCCTAAGAAACAATTCTTCTTACCTAGAGTTTGTCTTAAAAGCTGAAACAGGACATTTTAGGTGCCTATTTTTTCTTTCCAACCTATTTTAGTATTTTCTATCTGGAAACAAAGTAGTCTTATTACTGATATAAAACTCGGTGTTGTTTTGATTTCTGTTAAGTTCTGGATTTCAATGATCTCCTGTGGCCACAGACCAATTGTGCACAGTATTAATATATTGACAATCTTCAATGTTCCCATCACTATAGCATTAAAAAAACCAGTTTTGCTTCACTTCTACCTGGTACTCTCCTTCACCCTTTCATCTCAGTTCCAAACTCAGGCTCTCTGGGGCATCCAGGGAATTCTGGGACCTATGAAAAAGCTCAAAACCGAGAAGTCTTTCCCTTTGACTGCAGTTGTAGCCTGCTGGGCTATAAACTGTCAGTGATGACAGTAGTGTTTGACAGGACTCACAGGAATGGGACTAGACGGATCAAGGGGGCTCAAACAACCAAGATCATGGGAAGAGCTCCCACACAAGTCTTACCGCCCATAACCTTGCTTATCAAACCAGAACAAGACATTTTCTTCTTTCTCCAGAGTATGAAATGGTTCAGAAGTTTGTTATCAGCTTGAGGTCTGCCACACTCCCAGCACTCAGACCCCTCTCAAGGGGAGCAGTCATGATTGCTAAAACAGGAAGGATACTGCATAGCTGCTAGAAACTGCTGCAGCTGAGGCCAGACTCTATTTCTGTAAGCAGGCCCAAACCTGACCAACTTCTAGTAAGTTTCAGCAGTGATTAATTGGTTCTTTATTTTTCAAAAAATGTGGTTTAGCTTATATCTGAAGAATGCTGTCCCCATTTCAGTTTTGGCTCAGGCTTAAATGTAAAATGTCCCACCTTCCCCAGGGCCCGGTTTTTACATTCACTTCTTAGCTCCATCAAGACACTAAACCCTCAGGAGGCATGATTCACTTTTGACTTGCACCCTCCTCCCCGCTTATTTGTTCAGCACATGCCTTTTGGTGATGAGATCATGCTGAGCCGAAATCCCTCGATGCAAAATCATCATTTTAAACCCTCAGCTGATCAGGACTCTGAACTAGGGAGCTACTGCTTGTCAGCTGGTCAGCTGGACCACTTCTGTGCTTTTAGCTTTGCCAACTTCTTGTGGTGGCTGCAGCTAAAGCACTTCACCTTTACAACAGGGGGTTACAACGACAGCTGGCAAGTTGCAACACGGGCATTAACCATTTGCTTGCGACTGCTGGGCTGCAAAACAACATCAAAGCTCGTGATGTCAAGCGATCGTAATACTGATCTGGCCTTAGCTTCAAACCAGTCCTGGCTGCTGTGGCTACTTCAAAGCTTCAGAACTCTGTGTCTGGTTTTCTGGTGATTATTGCTCATGCCAGCATGAGTATGCAAACGTGCGCATCTGTGCGGAGCAGAAAGGGGACTTGATGCACTGCTGCTTCGTTAGCCAGCGCTGCTGCAGCACGCAGGCATGCCATGAGCACGTCACCCGCACGCCCTCGGAGAGCAAGAGCTCGGCTGACCGATTCCTGGTGGCGAGAATGATGCTCAACATCTGCCACTCTAAAAAGCACGTTTCTTTGCAGTGAACTTTAGACACCGTCAGCTAGAGACGAAGACAGACACAGTGAGCAGAATGAGAACAGTGTCACAAACCGACACACGCAGAAAAAAAAGGGCTAGGAAACAGAAAGGCAGCTAGACAAAGACAACAAAAGGAGTCTACACAAGAAGATACATTAAAAAAAAAAGAGGATAATTAGAGAGATTATTAGAGGTGTAATATAAAACAAAAAAAAAATAGAGAGACACTGAAGGCAGGCAAGTGTGAAGTCATGAAGATTACGCCAGCCTGAGCCCTGCCCAACAGTATGCAATCACACTTAAAACTGTTCTTCTGTGGTATTGTTGTGTCATATATTTTAAACTAATTTCTCAACTCCTGGAAATTTCTGTACCTTCATTAGCTTCAGTATATGCCAAACCATACATTAGCTGAAGATTGGTCCTTTCTGAAATATACAGCTTTTACTAAAACCTCACTTTCAGTGTGATTTAGCACAACCCGAGACAAGCATGAAATGGCTTGTATAGAGAATTACTTTAACTGAAATTCATTTTTTTTCTCATTAAATGCAAATACTTAGCAAGCCTAGCAAGCTTATGACTCCATGTGAGACACGTAAAATATATTAAATTTGGAATCTTGAGGCTTTCAGAATGTTCCTTTTAATATTACTATGCTACACTGTCTTGAATTTACTTTACTCATAAAAATGGATTTTTGTAATCATATTTAAGGTGAATACTTTATTTTAGACAGTTTTAAGTGACTAAAGCAACCTCTGCTTTTTTGTTTGCTTGAGGGAGGATTTTTAATCTTTAAACTCTAGAAAAAGATATACTTTGTTTCCTTCTGAACTGAGATGATTTTTAGATGGCAGGCAGCCTCTTCATAAGTAGGAACATTTGCAAGCAAACAGAATGCTACAGTTAATGCAAAACACATTTAAATACAGATCAAGATTTGACTTTTTAATACACCCCACTCTCTAGACTGTATACTCTAATCAAGACAGACCTCTGGTACACAGTCTTCCTTACATATACACGTAGACTTCATGACCTGCCTGTTTTACACCAGCTATTCAAGAGAGTCTTAGACTGCAGTCACATGAAAATCACCCACATTCACCTGCGGGCCATGAAAAACAAACAGCTAGCACGGCCTGTTACAAAGCAGTCCTGGCTTTCCAACTGACTAAGAAGCCACTCTATTTCATTTATTTTCAAAAATATTCTCTATCTTTGAAATGGAACTACATCAAAAATTGCCTTTACTGGGAAGACAAAAGCAGTGGCAAAACATAAGGCAGATGTTTCAAAAGTGAGCTTCAGGGATCTGAAAGACGACGTGCTAAACCCCAGCCTATTTCTACTCTGCTTTTCCCTTTTCAAAATGATGAGGACCGCATAGCAACATCATTAACACTTCCAGTAAGCAACCTGGCTAGGTTCTCCCGTTGGCCCAAGCATCACCACAGCTGACATCTGAGGGACATCACCTGCATCTCCATGCAGGTGAAAATCAATCACCCACTGCCTTCTGATTCTTCTGCCAGGTTGAGGGCTCGAGGCGAGCGCGGGAGGCAGGCAGCCGGGCTGCCGCCGCCCCACCGGCATCACACCAACACACCGAGGGAGTCCCCCACTCCACAACGTCTGCTCTAGAATGCAAATGGCATGACAGCATAGCACCACTACTCCACCCCAAGTGTATTTTTGTAATTTAGGCTCTAAACATGACATTTGGTTACGGATGGCACGCACCGCCTGGCACACCCGTGAGCCAGGCTGCTGGGAGCCAGTGGCCGAGAAGCATCTGATTCCAGTTCTGATTATGTAAATCCCATATAACTCCTTTAATACCCAAGGAGGTACTGCAGACTTAGGCTGCTGTAAATCAGATCACAGTGTGCACCTAGGAATTTAAAATGCATTACGAGGAACTAGTTACTTATCACAGCAATGTAACGCTTTATGGGATGGCGGTCCAGATCGATGGGTTCCTTTTTCTTTTCTATATAGAGTATTAAAAGCAAGCAAAAAGTAAGTTAAAGCAAGCTGAGAGCAAAACCTGCAGGACGAAAAAAGATTCATTTCACAAGCAAAAATAGAGAGGGGGGAAAATAACGTTAATATCTCTCTGGCATTTACCAAAAGTTAGGTTTGCAAATAAGCAGGACTAAATTATGATACATTCTGTGCACAAAAAATTGTACAAAATCTGAATGACTGGAGTAAACAGACTCATCGGCACCTCGCAGGGAGCAGGAAATGTTGCTAGACTGCATTAAGTACAGAACTGATGGTATCGAACGAGATCAAAGGTTAACTTACAGGAAACTCAATACAGTTACTCACTTGTTGATCTTGCAGTTTAACTCCAACTACCCTAAAGGTGTTCGTGGCCGTGTTGTGGTATATGTTGATTCTGCTGAATCCCTGTTGTCCAGGTTTGATTGGCACCCATTTCTTACTGGTATCGTCATAGACCATAACTGAAGCCCGGGCTTGGCAAATACTCTGTTCACTGGAGAGCAAAAACAACAAGATCAGGAAAAGACCCGGTAAATTTGATGCGTACTACCGAAAACATCGTAAGGGAAAGAAACCAACAGAAATTATCAGAACTACTTACAACATATGTTTTAGAAGAGATCTGCTAAATCCTCTGAACGCAATCTGCCTGTTAAATTACAGCTGGCATGTATGTGTTCCGAGACTTAAAAAAACTCCTGTATGCTGCTGTTTTGAACTGATAATCTATTTTATATAAAAATATTGGGCCCTGAGGAATAACTCGTAACACACAAACGTTATGAAAATTGTCCAACAGTATGAATGCTCCATTTATTTTATGTACCTATTGGCAAGTGAAGCCTTTCACATTTACATAAAAACTTGCCAATCTTTTACAGCTTACAAAATAAACGTGACATCCACAGCTGAGTTACACATTTAAAACGGGAAGCGAGCAGACCTTGAACCAAAAGCCAGGTTAGGTAAACTGAAGAAATCAATTACGTTAATCCAGTTGATGCCTAATACCAGACTCACTGACGCACTCAGAAGTCCCAAAATACATGGAGCAACACACAGAGGAACTCTTTTTCCCTTCATCTTAGTAGCAAAAGAAAGTGGGAAAGGGGAATCCACGAATGTCTGCATTCCAGTGTTAAAGTACATCGACATTATTTTGTATAGCATGAATAGCCGTATTTCTTCTGTAGATTCATCAGAAGTTCATCAGTTCTCTACCTCTTGCGTGCATATTTGTGATTAATAGACATATACTAGATTCGTGCTAAAACACACCCTTCATGTACAAGAAATGCCACTGGCAAATACTGCTGAGGTGACATGTCAATACGGATCAGGATTTCAATTCTCACTCTCCTGACTTCCCAGACACTTTTCTTATACCAGAGGAAATTAGTTTCTTACAGGAAGAAAAAAAAGAGAATCATCCAAATTTTGGAGATTTGAGATCTTCAACCGTAACAGGGATTTTTCAACAAGCAAACAGGGCATTTTAGGCCTAAATAAAACTATTAGGAGTTAAGTTCTGCAAAAAGTTCATGACCGTCCTATTAACTTTAGACCTAAATACATTTCTATATACCTCCCTTCCTTAGCCCAAGCTGCATTAAATAATTTTCAGCAATGCAATATCACATGGTAGTCTGCTTTGTACACAAATCCTTGGTTTTCCCCTCTCGCATACAGGCCTCTGTTTTGGTTTTGCCTCAGTAATGTCTCACTTGCACACAAATACACAAGAAGCTCCTGGGTGTTGCTAAACCGTATCGCCCCACTGCCACCGCAACAAATTACATTGCTTGTAAATGACGCCAACTGCCACAACCCCCAACCCACCCGACCCCATCACTGTCACCATTTTAATGAAAGGGAGCACATTACTAAGTATTAAGAGGATCTGGGTAGCAGCAATTTTTAATCTTTTCTGATCTGTGAGTCTCAAAATGATTTCCAAGGCGGATGCATCCCGCGTTGTCACTAAAGCCCACTGACACTCAGTTTGTTTTATCAGCCACTTTGCACAGCCTTCAGGTAGCCCACAGACCTCCCAGGCTGTGGGTGAGCGCCTGAAAACTCTTCACAACGTTTACAGAGGGAGCAACGAAGCTGGCACGCTTCTCCATAAAGAACAAGGTAAGAAAATTCAGAATAAATTGCATTTTTATTACATGGAAACAGCTAGATTCTGTTACTGGAGCAATACATTCAGATCAGAAAGACCAAACATTATTTTATTTATATTCTTCAGAAATTATAAAATCAAGCTAATTCACCAGTTGATGTTGCTTTGTTAGGCGAGAGATATACCTGGAGAACAGCTGCGCCTTTGCTGATGTACTTACCCAGCAAATATCTCTCCATCCCTTTTTTTAAGGTAAGCTAATGTCTCATGGCAGCTTCTCCATATCTGACACTAGCAGCTGAGGGATTTGAGCTCCCTCCAGCCTGCCTAATCATCCAACTGGTGCAAGAGCGGCAGCCTGGCAGCAGCGGCGGCATTGCCTGCATCCTCCAGACCTGCCTGGGGATGATCAGTCTGCCTCGGATCCACAGATGGGGAGGGTGGGAGGGAAATGCACCGGCAAAAAGGCCAGTATGCTGGATTAGCTCTGCCATGGGGAAGTGGAATGGCTAAAAACAATCTCTGATGCGGTTGTGTGCCTGGATGTTGCCCACCTGCCTGTGCTACCAGGTGTCTTGTGCCACCTCCAGCTCCAGAGGCGAGGGAAGCATCAGCTTCCCTGTGGCTACAGCAAGCCCCTGCCCAGCGAGTTCCCAGAAAACATGGTCCCCGGGAGAGTCACACTCAGCCCGCACAACACCAGGTCCTTCTCCTCTGGCCTTGCCGGTCACTACAAACCTCGCTATACAGAAGTGAGCCAGAGCGTGCCACTGGTGTCATCAGCGCCTGGGACACAATATAGCCTCCGTTTCAGAGGAATTTTGGAACCTACAATTACAATGGGCCCCTTAATTAGTCAAAATTAATTAAACTATCCTTACTTACAACAAAGAGAACGCACCTCATCATACAGACAGGAGGACCTTACCGTGTGTTATTTGTAATGCCATACCCAGTGGACATAGCCACTTCGCCTTCAGACTCGGCTGCCGTTGGAAACTGCAGCAAAGAACCCCTCCATAACCCCACGACTGAAACACAGATACAGACGCCAGGAGCAACATTTGGTGCATAAGGACCAATTGTTACTGTAACATAAAGCAACACATCAAGTTCAATCCCGGCTCCCCCTGCAGCCAACGGAAGTTTTTCATCATTCATTTAAACAGAAACAGGATTAAGGCTGTTATCGGGCCTTCAGTGAAATAACAGAAAGGAACATAAAACAAGTACAGCACGAGGAGAATCCATCCCTGGAAAGCACTTCATCAACCTTTCAAAACCTAAAATGCCCCCGGGGACCCACTGGTAGCTCGCTGTCTCACCCTAAGCAGAGGCGTAACTCTTTATGCCTGAAGGGTCTACTCGTCGTACCTACTAAAAGCACAACTCTCCCACTGCTGCGTTAAGGCGCTTCCCTGGAAACAGTCCAGAAAACGTTCATTCCTCTTATAAAGCTCAGTGAGAACCTCTCTCTCACCCTCCGCGGAGTCCATTACTTTAAAGGTAAATCAAGCAACATTAGTTTCATGAAACCCCAGCAAAATCTTGTTATTTTTGGGACCATACGCCATTGATACTTATGGCAACTACAAGTAACAGGTAATAAACATGAGTTCTGGCCACACTATTGTGTAGTCATATTCCTTCACCATGAGAAGAGTCTGGCAGGTATCAGTATTTATACACAGTCATGAGTGTAGCTTCTACAATTTGCTTTATTTTCCTAAGAATACACAATATTTACTGAAAAATGGGTATGTGTTGGAGGAGATTCATCAAATTTTACATACATTTCCAAATATTATCAATTCTTCTATTTATTTTGTATGTTATATTAACATGCAAGTTGTCAGATTCATCCACCTGGGTTTGTACCACAGGAAATTGCAAAAAAGGTAAAAATTGCATCACGGAGAGGTTTGAATTTCAACACTTCACATTTGCGCATAACATCTACTTCAATACACTGCAGTATGCCCCAGGGCAGATTTGAGACATCTTTTTTATTTGTGGAGGGGAAGGGGTTCTTTCTAGGAACCCCTTTACACCCAAATTCTAATTTCCACCCCTGTCTATTCTGAAAACTTTTCCTCCTCAGTGCTTCACATCTGTGGGATGGCAAACCTCTGCATCAGGACCACTTGTTTGCCTGAAGTTACAGCAAATCTGCTTAACTTCCTATCTGACAGAAGCAGATTGCACTGGGAAATCCAGCATTCATCATTGAGATTTATAGAATATTGTTTCAATATTACAAAACTACGAATTAAAAAAATATATGTGTGTTCACACGTGACATGGTTTGCTTCATTTAGTGCAACCCATTTTGACCCGCTGTCTTCCATCTCTTTGTTTAGTATTCGTCTTCACACACTAGCAGATGAGCTAATTTGGAGTTAACCCTTCTTGAAAGGGTCAACTTGGGCCCTTCTTGCCCAGCCCTGGTGGGCATGGGGGGCCAAGGACAGTGCCTGGGCTGGGTGACACGCTTGGGCTGGCCACACAGACTTGTGGTATCCTCCTTGCTTTGCTAGCCACAGCGTTAGCAGCACTTCCAACCCCAAATGGGTCACGTCAAGTTTCAAGGTACCAGTTAAAGTACAGAGACTACTGCATCTGGGGAGGGCAGTTGGGGGTAGCAGTGAGGCTGCACTTTGAGACAATGCTGCAATGAAGGTGGGTTCATCCAGAAATGTCTCTATTCTTCCGTCTGTGCTGAACTTGAAAAATGCCATCCTTTCCTCCTGGATTTTAGTAAGTTTACCAATGTCTCACAGACAAAAAAGAGCCACAAAGGAGTATGGAAAAGATAACACCAAGAGTCTTAGGGAATATATTTGGTTTTTTTTTGAATTACCACAAGACTTAATAGGGCTGCTTGACATTACATGGCTGACTGCAAGTAACTAAATAGGATGAGAAAACACAAGGGGAAATGAATTGACAGAAGTGTGGAGGTTGGGAGTGTGGGAGCCACGGATCAGGGAATAGTCATCCTGCTTCACTCTGCCTAACCCAGTGGGTTATCCAAATACAGAAGCAAAAAGCTTAGGATGGAACCACAAAAGACCTGGCAGAGAGAGTAAACAGAAAAAAGGGAGTAAATCATGTTTGGAGCCAAATCTTGGTAGACAGGCTCTGAAGGGCCTCCAAGGCTTTTCTCTCCTGGCCCACGCTCAGAAAAAGACAACAGGCCAAGCTGCACTGCTCCTTCATTAACCCATTTTCTTTACTTACAAGGTAACTTATGAGTAAAACTTGTGCAGAGCCAGGTGCTGAGTTGCTGAGCCCACCTCTGAACAGTGACCCTGGGCAAAGCTTGCCATGGCACAGGGTTATCTCAGCCCTACCCCAGACCCCCGTCCATTACCAGCCCAGACAGAAGGCAATGGGAGAGGTTTAACATACTTTTTCCTAGACCACAGCAACATCATACAGCTTTTGGAGGGTCACCAAATCACGCTCACAAAAGGTGTAACAAATGACAGCAACTAACCAGCTTCAGGGCTAAACACCTAATTCTGTGGGCAATACTCCAACGTGCCAGCTGGACCAGGAGACTTCCACTATCCATTATATTTACAGACACAACTGTTTCCTTGGGGCAGAAATTCACTGGGCATAAACTGTGAAAGCTCCCCTGGTAGAAATCAAGCTATCATTCTTAGAACCTATTACAGATCTACCTTCTTTCAAGCTGCTCATGATTCTCTCACCTTCAAATGATCTGTCTTCTGGTATTCTTAGGAAATGCAAACAGCTGCTTTTAGAAACATTCCTTATTTTTTATTTCCATTTCCCATTCATTCCCTCCCCTTTAAATGACTAACAATTAAAAATTATTTTTGACTTATCTAACCATCCTTATTGGTGTCAGAAATCATTCATACTACTTTGCTCAAGGCTTGTCCTACCTGGGAACAAACCCTCAGCACACAGAATATGTGAGATAATTCACAAGCTATTTAACACATTGCACTCTACTTGTCCACTGAGTCTGCCTACCGAAAGTCACAGTTGTGCGGTTAAACGTGACATGCAAGAAAAAGATGCTGATGCTAATTTAAGAAGCCATCAGAATTCTCTGAACGTCAGCTTAAACAGCTAACACAAATACAAAATCCTGTATATGGAGATGTGTGGTCTGTATCTGTGTTAACCTCAAAATTAGTGAGATAGAAGTCATGTTCCTACAGCATTTAAAGTGTACTGCCAACTTTAATGGACTAATTTGCTAAACATTTAAATTGGTTTCACTACAACAAATATTGACTGGGATGCAGGGAAAGTGTTTCAGGAGTAATCTTTATAGAAACAGGTGGACATTTCTCTCTGACACCTAGATTTAGAGAAAAACCTGGGAGACCCTCTGAACACAAGTCAGTCAGGTCATCTGGGCTCATACAGAGCATACCTGAGATGTGAGCTCACTACAGACAACACTTGGAGTGCAGTGGCTCTCCAGCCTTCCCACCAGACAGTCAGCTTTGATGATGACCCCTTTTCTCGTTGGGAGCCTCCTCTCTCCAAAACAACATCAGTCATGCTTGTGAGTCCTCTGTGACCTCCTTTTTCAAAGTCTACTTCCTCCTGCAACCAAACCCGCAGGACAGTCGGTGTCACCATCGTTAACCCTATCTCCGTCCCTGAGCACTGAAGGACTTACTTCCTCAGCAATGCAGTGAGACCTCGTAGTGAAACAACAGCACCTGGCCACTGATCACACTGAAGGACAGAGGAATCCCACAGGGACTCTACATCCAGACAGGAGCTTTCAATCCTCAGGGACATGCAGATAACTGAGTATTTTCTAACAGACATTTAAAAAAACAGCAGTCACAGTTTCATATATAACACAGAGCCACTATCTCCACTTGCTTTTCTGTCTCCTGTTTTGTGGGTCCAACCCATGGATCCGGTGGTCAGAAGTCCTCAATTTGCACTCACTCACTCCTGGTTACTGGCCTGTGCAGAGAGACTTCCCCAACAGCCCAACCCTTGCCTCGGTCAGCCTGAAATGAAGCCCAGTCCCCAGAGGAGCTGCTATTTTTCGGCCTCCTGCTCAGCTTGCATGTAAGACGTGCCTCTGGCACAGGGCTGGGCTGCATCACCAGCGGGGGATGAGCTTTTGGCACTGAGCATACGGCACAGGTACCTGGCCATCACCCCTCTCTGCTGTTAAACTCCAGCACCTGAAGACTTTAATATTAAATAATTACAAGAAAATAGTGCATATACAAAGCCGCCTTGAAAAACACAGCTCTCAGAAGGACTGAGGCTGTTAAATAAAGTCGTGACACACCTGTAAGATAAATATACATTTCACAGAGCAGGAAATGGAAATACCGGTACCTCTACAACATGAGCAAGAATATGACGAACAGCAGTTCGCCTTCACAGGAAGAGTATTTAAGAGTTACTCTTCTTTCGGCTACCAATGAGGCATTAGTTTTGAATTCTCCCTTACTGTGTTGGCATACCCAGTGTGAACTGCCATGTCCACTACTGGTTGCAGACATCCCTTGCAGACACTTCAGTTGGAAACCAAAAAAGGGACAGTTTATGAGGCACCCAGATCTCACACTAAGCCAGGACTTTTGAGAGATGAGTTGCTAAATTCAGGAACATACATGCAATCCTGGTATGACAAGAGGAACTTGCACAACCTGTCACCCTCTCAGTGCTCTTGAGCACGAGAAGTGAATAGAAATACAAAAAATGAAGTATGCAAAACAATAATGCAACAGAAGAAATGTTCCACCTGGGCCTGACTGTCAGCCCAGAGCAGCTCAGTCCTCAGCACTGCCAGTCAAAGTCCACAGAGACTTCCCAGTGTCTGCTGCAGCCCTTAGATAGCACATCTGCCAATCCGTGGAGATGCAGGGTGGTTGCAGAGTGATGCCCTTGTAACCAGCACACCAGCTTACTTCATGTTGGTGCGGGTTTGAAACTACGCAGTGGAGTTAATTGTAACCCATCACTTTTCTGGTAGGTTTTGCAAACTGAAGCATAATAATCCAAATGACCCTCAGGGAAACTCCAGTCATCAGTATCTCAGCTCAACATCTTAAAAAAGCGCTTTGAGAGAACTGCTTTGCAAAGGGAACATCACAGCGGAAGTGTAGTGATTCAGAGAAGTGCCACTGCTGCCAGGCAGCCAGACTCCCAGAGCCATGCTGTGCTCCAGAAAACTTTTCCTTCAGCTTCCACAAGGTTGGGTCACTGCTCTCTCCTAATGGAGAAACCCCATTGCTCCGTTAATGCTTTAATTCACGCTACATTTCATTCTGCAGTGAAGTGTGCTTCACTTTCAGGTTTTGTATACCACCTTGAAGATATACTTTGGGAGTTCCTAAAAATAAGTATCAAGTAAATGTTTAGAAAATCCTAAAAATAAATCAAGTAAATGGCCTGGGGAAACACCATGAACCCAATTAGTCAAAAACAGTCAAAAAGCAACTTGACTAGATCAGGTTGCTATTAATACAAACTATTTCACTTCACCCTTAAATTACAGAAATAAAACCAAGAAGTAAGTAGTCTTGTAAAATATGCATTATGCAAAACCCAAAACTGAACTGTCAAATGAAAATACATGACTGAGGGCTTTCACTCCTGGGCCAGCCATATCCGTATTTCAGGAGAACAATACCTTAAACAAAGGCTTTGAAAGATCATAATCATAAATAATAATCAGAGAGGCAGACTCTCAAGTGAATACAGGAAATCAACATAAAGGTCTTTCATTAAAGCTGCTGTTGCTTTGCCTTGGTTTCCCTTCTATCCCAGAATAAATGCAGATAAACCTGTGACAACTCCCCTGGAGCGACAGAGGCAGACCAGGAATGAAGGAGGCTCACTCTGTCAAGTCAGCCTCTCCCTCACTGCCAGGGGTTGCATATTAATGCAGCATTGCCATAAAAGGTTAATTAGCATTTTGTACAATTATAAATTGTCCTATGAGGCTGTAACCAAAACTCAGACCTTCTGCATTTATGACAATGCATGCTCTCCTTCCCACCAAGTCAGGTTAACCCCCGTCAGCAAACCCCCTGCCAACCTGCACCGTGCTCAGATACTTACGTGCCTGCCATCGAGGAAGACCTGGTCAGCTAATCCCGCAGGAGTACGCGCTCAAATATGGCACACGTGCCAAAACCCAAATAGGCTATTTCACCTGATCACTGAGCAGAAGACAAATTTGGCAGGCAGACAAGCCAAGAGTCTCTATGAAAGGTCCAAAACAGGAAAGGGAAGTGCTGAGAGCAGAAGGGCAGGAAGTAGCACACACTTGTATGGCAGGGGCGGGGAAGGGACTTTAAAGAAGAAATGTATTCTTTCTTTCAGCTGATTTACTGAACTAAAGTCCAAACAATATAGATTAAGATTAGATGTGCCGCCTTTGCCTCATTGGTGGCATGGATGTTAAAAACATTTAGCTTATTTTCTCAAGGTACAGGTTCACTGTCCAAGAAAAGGAAAAAGCAAACAAACCTCAAACCCAGAAAAAAATTGCTGTTCATTTACAGCGTGGGCGTTTGCACAGTGCAGAACCAAACTCAGGGGCCCCGTCAGTACCGAGGGCCCCCGTTCGTGCCTTGCCACCAGCTTGGCATTGCCTGCCGGCTGGCTGGGAGCCAGCTCCAGCCCAAAACTTGACTTGGCACAGCACAGTGCCCAGGCTATTGCACCCTGACTCCCAGCTACCGTGGCAATACACCTGGCTAACTCAGGGTCCAGACAGAGCAAAAGATTTTTTTTTTTTGGTCGTTCTAACCCCATTGTCCCACTTGAGGCATCACCGTGAATACATAAGCTAAGAAACACACCTTCACGGAAGGAGGTAACTGATCATGTACGTATAGATGGACATGGAAGAAACCTCCAACATTTAAAAAACATGACAAAATTTGTTCCAAGGGGCACATAAGCAGTGCATGTCCTCCGTCCATCACCAGCAGCTGGAAGGGCCCCATGGGCTCAGCAGGAGTCTGGCCTTCAGCCAGCCGGTACCTGCAGACAGCAAAGATGGGAGATCATGGCCTCTCCCCTGCACTCCTGCCTGCCCCACGCTAAGCCTCCACAAAGGGCATGCGGGATTTGGCTTGGAGGAACCACTGCGTAGATCACAGCCATAAGCTGGAGGATACCTTATCTCACAGCTTCTGCTGTAGAAAACGTGCCATCTGCTATTGCCTTTCAGATAGTTAGTTCTGTGTACCGTCTATTTTTAATTAGCATGCCTTGCAAACCTAAGCCTCCTTGGCTGTGCTGTGCCTGCATGAGATCCCTGAAAGACTTAATTTCCATCCTGCCATGAGCTGGCTACCTACGTGGTTGCCTGTATCCACATTCCCGTTAACAGGGAGGTTGGTTTTCCCTGCAGTACTGCTTCCACCCCCCTTGCTATCTCTGCAGGCTCTCATTTGCCTGCTCTGCTGCTCCATTAACCGGGCATTGCCATTTGGCTAAGGCAGCAAGATGGCCTAGTAATGCAAACGGAAACTTTGCAAATTTAGGAATAATAATTGAACTTATTGCAGAAAAAAAAAGTAGACGTCTTGAAGAGCAGAACATCAAATTAATACTTTAGTGCTACCTCACCTGCAGTGGTTTTGACGGGCTCTCTCTCAGAGGGGACAGGCCCTTGAGGCATATCATCCTTCTTTTCTCCCCATTCCTTGGTTTGGCAAACTTGTACACTGGATGTAAACACCCTGCAAACACTGTCAAGTCTCCCCATTTTGTTTGTGCAAACAGAATGCAAACAACTGCAGAATAAACCCACCAGATGGGTCAGAGATCCCGACTGCCTCTCCCCACCTCTGGCCATCACTACCTCTTCCTGCCCGATAACTTTATGGCCTTTAATCACACTTTTTAACGCACATTGCTTAAGAAAATACTTCTCCTGTGGCATTACCTTAGCCACCCCATGATGTGATCCCAGAAAGGTTGTGCAGGATCAGCGTGGGGAAGAGGACAGGGAGATTCGCACCCACGTGTAGGTCACTGCATCATTTTGCTGAGCTACTTTGTGCCCACCCGGGCATGACACAAACTAGGAATGACGCGTTACCTACTCTGAACCCAGTTCCCTAAAGTGCAATGCAAGTGAACTACCTCCCTCCACTGAACCATTGTACAAAACCTTGCCTTTTTCACCTACTCTGACCCCGTTCACCCATCTGTCCAAACTGGAGCAGTGGTGTCCCTGAGGTAACCTCCCAAAGCACCCCACAAACAGTGGAGCTGCTCAGCTGGTGAAGACCTGCTGGAAACACAGCAGGCACCTGTGATTTTATCATGGAGGCAGCATGTAGCATCCCATACACACGGGCTTTCGCTGGGAGTCAGCACCGGAGGCTCTGAAGTCTCCACTAAAGAGAACAAAGCCTGCAGAGCCCTGAGGAGACCAGTCCTCAGGAGATCACACAATCCCTCGCATCCTTGCAGTGCTTTCAGAGTGCAACATACACGTGAATAACCTTAGAGCCCCATTTCATAGAGCAAGAAGAAAGGAGTGGAAGAAACAGGCCGAATTTGGCAAGGCACACCAGCTACGCAAAGCCTTCACTGCCGTTTCTGCTGGGGAGCAAGGGCTGCCATCGCTGCTCTACCTCAGC